ACACTCTCCCACATGGCCTCCTTGATCGCTATGCCCACACCGTGTATGCCCCTCTTGTCCTGGGTGCCAGAACGGGCGCCACTCCAGATAATCACGTACCCGTCGTGTGCAATTGAACCTTGCCCCTCTCGTCGGGTCTCCTGAAGTCCTATCACATCACAGCCGGTCGCGGAACAAATCTGCATGACCGTCATCACGTTGTGACCGATGGGGTTCCTACCGCTGTAGGCGAGCGTGCGTACGTTGAACGTGCCGAACGATAGGTCGCCCTCTCGTGCCTCCTTCTTCGCAGCCGCCTTGACGGCCGCTGCGGTCTCGTGTCTCTCTCGGTCCGCCTCGCGTTGCGGGTGTGCGTTCTTCCGTTATTTCCGAGCGGCGACTTTCCTCGCATCAATCCATCTCTGCAGAGCTCGGTTCTTGCCTGTGGTGTTTTGACGAGGAGGGTGCAGCACTCCCTCCCCGCGGTGCCCGCGGTTGTCTCCCTTCTCCCGCGAGCGGTGCTTACTGACGTGGTGTTTACGAATCTCTCTACTCCTCCAGCTTCGTGGGCCACGCTTTCCGCGACGGTGGTTGCCAGGTGCAGTTTGCCGCTTTGCATTACTGCCGCGGGAACAGCAATGTCCATACATACCTGTCGCCACTACCACCGTCTGTGCATCCTCACCGCCACGCTCAGTCAGCGGGGCGGTGAGTTGCACCTTGGGACACCACCCGCTTACTACAATTGTATCTGTTGTGGCCTGGTTCGCCCGCGAGGGACTCACTAGGTCGATTTCGGCCCCGGTCGGGATATGCCCCGGTGGTTTAGATCCCCGTACAATCCGCGGGGACCCCTGTTCATTTTTTTGCAAATTTTTCATCTTTCCGCTAGCTTTCGTTCGAGCACTTCAGCGCGCCGATCGGGTCACGCATGTTTGCGGCCTACGCCACTTAATTTTCGGGCGAGACTGTTTTGGTGATGTATTAACTTCACGAGAGGCAGACGACCGTCCTTCACACGGACGAAAGAGGAAGTGCTCAACGAGCGGCTCCCACAGCAAGGAGGGGCCCCGTGAATCATCGCGGTGCCCCCTATCAAACGGCAATCTTACCAGTCTGCGTGACACCAAATCATCCAGCACATGTATCCAACACCAATGTTTGCAGACCCACGAACACCCTCCCTGGTTCTTCGCGCAAGTGACTGCAAGAACGCCCCTGGATGCATCAGAAAATACCAACGTGGTAATACATGTAGGGGAAACCCGGCGTCCGGGCAAAACCCCTCGAACAAAAACCTATCACCACAAAAACCGTCGCTATCACAGCGGACCACAACGGCCGCACTTGTTAGAAAGGCCAAGGCGAAGACAAGAACGCGAGTAACTAGCTCCCCCGGACGATGGTCTCCCAACGCTCCCTACTCCTGCCATTGGTACACNGCGCAAGTGACTGCAAGAACGCCCCTGGATGCATCAGAAAATACCAACGTGGTAATACATGTAGGGGAAACCCGGCGTCCGGGCAAAACCCCTCGAACAAAAACCTATCACCACAAAAACCGTCGCTATCACAGCGGACCACAACGGCCGCACTTGTTAGAAAGGCCAAGGCGAAGACAAGAACGCGAGTAACTAGCTCCCCCGGACGATGGTCTCCCAACGCTCCCTACTCCTGCCATTGGTACACAGACTGCAACAGTTATGTGCCTTTCCCCGCATGGAAAACATGACATCTCCCAAGTGCTAGAAACTGCTACAGCTACTCCGGCAAATTCATCAACTTGCGCCAGTGGTACTGCAGACTAGCCCTGCTAAGGGCCTTGGTTAGGAGGTCCGCGTGTTGCTCCGTTGTCGGAACGAACTTGACCGAAATATCCTCCGACCTAGACAATCCTCGGATGAAATGAAATCTCACGTCGATGTGTTTCGTGCGACCTGAGCTGAGGGGGTGCTGCACCAACGCTATGGCCCCCTGGTTGTCCTCAATGACCTGGATGCTGCCACTGATCTCTGGGGCAACAAACGAAAGCACAGCACGCACAAACAACGCCTCCTTGACGCCCTCCTCGGCAGCTATGTATTCGGCTTCCGTCGAAGACAAAGACACGATGCTCTGTGTCATTCTACCATGGCTGACTACGGTACCTCCAACCGTCGTCGCCAACCCTGGCACCGAACGCCTATCCTCCGTGTCAGCGTAGCTAGCGTCTACGTACATGGCCAGCCCTAACCCCGATCCCCGTTTGTAGGTGATGCCGAGGTCCCTCGNATTCTACCATGGCTGACTACGGTACCTCCAACCGTCGTCGCCAACCCTGGCACCGAACGCCTATCCTCCGTGTCAGCGTAGCTAGCGTCTACGTACATGGCCAGCCCTAACCCCGATCCCCGTTTGTAGGTGATGCCGAGGTCCCTCGTTTCCTTCAAGTAGCCGAGGATCTTCTGGATGGCATCCCAGTGCCTCTTCGCCGGGGCGTGGGCGTGGCGCGCTACCGTGCGCACGGCGAACGAGACGTCGCGACGCGAGAACCTCGACACCCACATCATGCTGCCGATGGCCTCCCTCACCGGCCACTCCCCTCCCTTCTCGTCATCTCGCTTCGGTCCTAGGTCGACACCAGGGGAAACAGGGATGCGGGAGGTCGATTGTACATCAAAGCGTTTCACCATGCCATCAAGGTACGCGGTTTGGGAGATTCTAAGAGTCCCAGCCTCTACATCTCTCTCAATGGCGCGCCCGTCAAACCATTCGCATTCTCCAATATTTTTGGTGGGGAATTTCTTGTTGAGAGAAGCAAGCAACTCCTCGCAATCCTCGTCAGACCCAGCCACCAAAGTGTCATCCACGTATCACGACAATCATCACCACGACTTCGTCCACCATCTTGCGGAAAACACACGGTTCTGCCGTGCACTGCTCGAACCCGTTCTCGACAAGCGTACCAGCAGCGTGGTACCCCCACTGCCTACCGCTCTGCTTCAGACCGTAAATCGCACGCTCAGCCTTAACAGTCTTATGCGATTTGTCCCCGCACCCAGCTGGGAGCCTCAGAAAAACCTCCTCGTCTAGCGTGGCGTGTGTGTACGCCTGCTTCACATCCCAGTGATTGAGGTTCATGCCCTTCTCGTTCGCTACCGCAAGCATCAGCTTAATGGATGCGGATGATGGGCAAGGGGAAGACGAAAGGAAATAATCGACGTTCGGGATTCGCGAAACACTCCTTGCAACCAGAATCCCTTTGAACCTTTATATCTTCCCTTCCTTGTTGGCCTTCCAACAAAAACATCACTTTAGCTCACAGGCCTGCGCCCCTCTGGCGCGCCGTCTACGAATGAAAACGTTCTCGTGCCCAACCGCCCTTCAACCTCTTCCCTCATGGCCTGTTCCCGCCCTTCTCTGTACACAGACTTGGCAACGCCGGCTACGGTCATGAGGGGGGGTTCTACATGACTCGGACGCTTGCCAATGGGGGATTCACTTAGATCGTGGGACGCCAGAGCCGTCTCGAAGGCGTCTGGCGAGTTGAGCATGAGGTCCACCGTACCCAGCAGGAAATCCTCCGCCTCTTGGCGCGCAGCGTGGGCCTCCTGCGCGCGCTCGGACAGCAACTCTCGCACCACCCTCGCCTCTAGCCCCTCCGCCACGTGAAGTACTGCCGAGAGCATCCAGCGGGTGAACTCCTCCGTGCTGCTGTCGGGCAGGCTCGCCACCGAGGCGAGCAGGGCTTCNAACAGCAACTCTCGCACCGCCCTCGCCTCTAGCCTTTCCGCCACGTGAATTACCGCCGAGAGCATCCAGCTGGTGAACTCCTCCGTGTTGCTGACGGGCAGGCTCGCCGCCGAGGCGAGGAGGGCTTCGGCACTTATCGGCGACGGGGGCGACCGTACCTCGGATTTCGGCGAGGGTTCTCCCTGGTGCGGCGGCTGGTGAGTTCCGCCGGCGTGTCGAAGCGGGCGAGCCGCCGGGCCTCTGGCCCACAGAGCGCCGGGAGATCCGTCTCGCTGTTGCTGTCGCTGTCGCTGTTGCTGTCGCTGCCGCTGCCGCTGTTGTTGCCGCTGTTGCTACCGCCGTCGCTGCCGCTGCCGCCGCTACCACGGCTGCTGCTGCTGCGGCGGTCGTCGTCGCCGCCGCCCACATCGGCCATGCCGGCCGACGTGGTAGATGGGACGACGCTAGCGCCCTCCCTGCTCGAGGGGGCGCCATCGCCAGCGTTGCCCGCGCCCGACTCCTGGGGCGCGGCCGGCG